TGAATAAATTCTGTGTTTGCATTACTCAATGAGTCTAGTGTCATATAATAACAAATAGCTTGTGTAGTTGTAGAAAAGGTTTTCTGGATAAGTTGCTGAGTAATATCCAAAATGCCAAACCAAAGTTCATCACTAACATCTTGATTCCCTGCTGCATTTTCAGCATAATGTCAGGACAAGGTTTAATCGGCAATATTCCTCCGTGATTTCCGCCTGGTAGTACGAACATTTCCGTCTGCGGCACATCGAATTTCTGCGGCTAATCGATCGGCAAAGTGGCACAGTAGTCCTAGTGATACGAAATCGGCATCAAAAATAGAATCTTAGATTAGTGTAACTTTGGCGTGTCAAATGTAACCAGCCTTGGCACATTGTGCTCCAATGACCACTGGAACATTACTCCAGTCCAATGCTCCATTGCTCTAATGGTAAGCCACTGGATATACCTCCATTCACAAAAAAAAAAACACATGATATTATCATTCTTTATTATCTTTAATTTCGTAAAAGTCACCATACTACATGCATGTTACATTTTCTTTATGCCGTATGAACTTGTCCGATATTTCGTATATGTAGTAGAAAACTAAATACTGTTCCCGAGTAAATGGCACCTGAGTGATGCTGGTTACCCGAATATTCTCAGGTGTTAATATTCTTAAACGAAAGAGACATTCCAAAGTAAACAATCCAATCTGTTTACCACAAATACTATCAGTTACTAAAAACTGACTACAATATACAAATCGTTCTAGAAACAATTGCCAAATCCATATCATCTTCATACAGAAGACTATTCCTACTTGTACAATACTGTATGCAATATGCTTAAATCATATGCCTTGAGCGCATATTATCCTTATTCCATATTGTAGATTAGTTGAAGATTGTTTATTGCTGACGGCACTGGCAATTCGACAATGAATAAGTCAGCGAGACACCATTTTGCACTCGAATCGTCCGCAGGATGGTTTAGACGTTCTGTCAGACTTTCAGACACAAGACCTTCATCATATTCAATAGCGAGGGCTTCTGACCAGTTGCTAAGAACAGTATTCCATTCGCTATCTGCATCAACATCATATTCACAACTGTCACTGACAGTTGTCTCTTCATTTTCGTCATTAATCTCTATTACTTCAGCAGAAATTTCGTAGCTGTCAGAAGGATTTTCTTGATGAGATTCATTATTCTCAGCATTATGTATGATGGTATTTGCACGTATGCGTTGTTCTAACTCTTGCGACATCTTAACTGAACGATTATAAATTATTTCAGCCCGCATCTGTGCCATTGAGAAAACTTTTCCAAGCTAACAGATTATAGTATAAGTTTCAACTGTCATTTAACAATAGTTTAAACACATATTAAGTCAACACATAGACATGTCTTACCTGCAATCTATTGCGCCGTATTGAATGTATAAAGTCCATCGACGAAAATAAGCGTTCACATGACGCAGAATTTACGCAAATCGAAAATATCCGAACTGCAAGAATGCCTAACTCCTTTGTCGCTCCTATTGTAAACTTCCAATATTCTTGAATATCGTCAAAGTTTGAGGCGGTATCATCGTCAAACGGATACTCTTTATTGGCGAATCTTGAGAGTTCCGCTAGGATAACAGATGGCCGTGTCTTGAACCACTCTTTATAATAGTATTGGACCCACAAGCCAATTTGGGGTAAGTTAAGTGAAGAAAGATTATTATTGAAGACACTATGACGGTATTTGGGATGAAGGAAGAAAGCTATAATGAGCAATGGTTGCTCCCATTGCTTCCAACGAGACTCTAGACAGCGGACCATATTCCTGCTGAAATCGTCTTGCCCACGCTTATATAATTGCATGAAATAGGCAAATGCATGAAGAACATCTGACAACCATGCAACATCACGTTGCAGATGGTTGAGTATCGCCATGAATGGCAATAAATGTGACTCCAATTCTTCGATCATCTGCCACCATGCATTGTCTTCCAATAGTGTTAGAATATTTATTGGTAGGTTTTGATGCCGCAAAGCAAGTGCCTGTCATTTTGAACAAAATCAGCTTCTGTTTTATTACATGGGAAATGAAATGTGGGACACATACTTTTAAAGCTCTCTTACTGCGGACTAGTGAGGCAAAGCAGAAATAATAGCTATTCCACCGTGTTTGAGTTGGCCTTACTAAAGCATAATATTTTCCATATAATGCTTTCTGCTCTTTATGCAGCTTATTAATCCAAGAAGAATGTCTATTATCTGTAAAATACGCCACAATCGTGACAGCTCCTGATGACGCAACTTTATATTGAGGCGACGACTTGAAAATGTCTGCGACACATAAGTTTGCTTGATGTGCGAAACAAGGGAGAAAGACTATGCTGGTATATTCTAATCGCATTTGTCGTCTAATGAGAATAAATTACTATCAGAATTTATAACAAAACCGCAAATAATCACCAGACTTTTTTTCATTTATTGGAATTAATGTTTTCTAGCATTTATAATCTGAAACTTAAGCTAACCTTGCTGCTGCATAGGCTGAGGCACTGTCTGTGACCACTGCAATGATTTTAATACCATCGCTCTCTGCTCGCATGAAAAAGTTTCTGATTTGTTTGACTACATCTATTGCACAACCACCATCCCCTGAAATATCTTCCGCACCCCATATGAGAACCTTTCCTTTGCCTGTAATTAAAACACTTCCTAATATTTCCTGATGATTGACATTTTTCCACCCATCAAATGCCAGAGTATTCCCGATTTCTTCTTTTTTTGCATCAACAACCTGTTTTCGCTGCAATTCTGCACTATGCGATGAAAGTATACGACCAGCAAGGGCGCGACGTCCAGGTAAAGACAATACCGGATTGAGAAATTTAAAAAGTGCTATTACCTCAGGATTCTCAATCCACCTAAATGCCCACCCATTACTGACAGTAGCTTTCAAAAGGTGGTGTTCAAAAATTACATATTCTGCTGAATTTAAATCACGGACAAGATAGTTCTCAATAGGACCTTTTAATAATCGATTTCTTGAATGACACACAGAGTGAGAAGGGGGTTTATGTGGCATTGTGGTCACCTCAGAGGAACTTGAAAGACTGCGACTGACTGTGCTTGAATTTGCGATTGAAGAGGTTTCTATGCTCTGGTCTTCATCTGACCCATACAAGATCTCTGACCTAGCTTCTTCACTGTACTGCTCAGCAAACTGTGGACATTTTTTTAGGTGTGCCTTGGCACAACCCTTAGTGTTAGTAAATACTGACCTTTCTAGTGCTATTTCCCTCCCCAGTTTGTTGATACATGCTTTGCATACTGCAGCTTTGTTGGATTTATTCACTCTTATTGATAGAACCTCAACATATGGGGTGAGTCGATGTGGCGGCTTTCCACCAGTGTGTTCTTTCATCTTGCCGGTAAGGAATGAGAGATGAGATGAGATGACGATTTGACATTTTATTGGCTATATCCTAAAAAGGCAACTTTTCCATTGACCAATGGAGCAATGGATCATGCTCCATTGATTCCATTCGCTCCATTGCCAACAAAAGACTGCGCCACAATGGAGTCTATGGAGCCAATGGAGTACAAGCTCCATTGCTCTATTCCATTGAATTCCGAATGGAGCAAATATATACCAAGGCTGAATGTAACGATGCAGTGTCAAATGTAACGATGCAGTGTCAAAATCTGTGCTACTAGAGTGTGTCAAGTCGATCCGAC